TCTCTCTCTCTCTCTCTCTCTCTCTCTCTCTCTCTCTCTCTCTCTCTCTCCAATGTTCGGCATGACTTTGTTTTCAAGAATATAAGGGACAAAAGTTACAAAAGAGAATTCGGCATCTTCAAATGGCAATTCACAAAAAACAAATGGCATTTACACTCTAAATATCTTTGTATATCGATAGTTATAAAATAATAATTATTCGTATACATGTATGTATAAAATTATTTTACTTTATATAACTGATCAAATGTTTTTTTCTTAATAATTTGACAAAGATTTTTAGTGAAACATAAGAAAAAGTGAAAAAAAGGAGTTATTTTTATAATTTTATAATTTATATTTTTATAATTTTATACTTTTATAATTTTATATTTTATAATTTTATAAATTTACAATTTGTATATAGAAAGAATAATTTTACCAAAATATCTAAAAATTTAACTAGATACAAATAATTTTGTTGCACTATGAATGATTTTTTGCAACTAACGTTGCAAAAAGTTTTGACATCCTAATAACAAGTTTGAATGTCTTACATAATTATTTTGATGATCTAACAAAATTATTTTTAGATTTGTATTTTGCTAAATTTTTAGAGGTTTCAGCAAATCTGTTCTTTTGTGCACTCATTGAATCGGTGATTAATTTATTGAAATTTTGAACACGTTTATCTCACAATAATTCGTAATATAATTATTTTTTATTAAAAATCAAATATATATACAAATATATATATATATATACGGAAAGATTGATTTTGCTGAAGTATTAAAAAATTTAGCTAGATTAAGCACTGACAAGAGAAGTTATCCAGATGTCCAATTAGTTTTAAAAAAGTAATGGTTAAAAATTACAGTATCCTACCTCCTATTAATTAAAATGAGTACCATTCGCTCGGAAAATTTGATATTATGTTAAAATGAATTCAAAGTTCGCTATAAGCAGCTGTGATAATGAGTTTTGACGTTTTTTCCTAAATTTTTTTGCTTTTTAGATGTTTCTACATACATATGAGTAATATACGGAATAGAAAGGAAAACTTGGATCTCGATTCCAGTGATGAGTATTGAATATTGTTTTATTTCCCTCTCAATGTTCAAATTGCGTTTGGGTATTATACATTTATAAAATTGTACGAATGTATGTATATACAAAAATATATATATTTATTATTTATTTTTATTAATGTATTATTATATGTTTCCAACGAATTGAAATTTGTAAAGTTAAAAATATTTTATTTTGAGTTATTATACCATAAAGAAAAATTAAAAATAAATTGGAAACCACCAATGAAATCGAAATCCAAGTTTCCGTTTTTATTTCACTTACGTATATTACTCATATATGTATGTAGAAAAATTCAAAAAGTAAAAAAGAATTTCATTTAAACCCATTTTCGGAATCACTTACAGCGGACTTTAACTCCATTCTTCTAACGAATATCAAATTAGAGAGAATGACACTCTTTTAATTAATAGAAGATAAGATATTACAAATTCTAATCGTTACTTTTTCAAAACTAATTGGACATCTGATTAAAACGAACATCTATTTGGGCAACTTCCTTTGTGAGAAAAAAATTTTTTATAATTAATTTGTAACTATAATTATATATTACTATAATTATGGTTATTACTACTATAAAACTACTATAAATTACAATAGTAATAACTATGTGTGTATATGATTCTTCAAATATATGTGTGTGTATATATA